GCTGATGTCCCATCACATTTCGATTAAAACTGTTCAACGGGCCTCTGCGAGTTGGCTTCGGCTCCTCGTACGCCTTCCAAGTTCCAAAGGTCCGGGAACCTGTGGTCCCGTGAAAGGAAAGAACAAATAATGTTTATTTTAACTTATATGAAAATACACCTACATCATACCATACCTAAGTATGTATACAAGAATATACAAATAATTATAATTTTCATAATACTTTAAGTAACATATGTATGTATTTCTCTTCATGTGATGCTTCGTAGATATTAATTTCTAACACAATTTAATTTCATAGTAGAATATTATTATTAATAATAAAGCCTTGTAATTTTCTGTGCCTGACAGGGTCCAGGTTGAACTTAAACCCTATGTATGAATAAACGTTTGAATCTGAGTTTAAAATTGGAAATAACGACTGACTCAAACGAGCGATAATAAATAAGGGTCCCGTTGTGACTTGAAACTAGTAGAGCTGTTCTCAGTTAATTCACGGGAGTAAGTCGTTATCTTACTAATATTATAAATGCGAAAGTTACTAAGTTAAGATGTTTGGATGTTTGTTACTCAATCACGCCAAAACGGCTAGACGGATCCGAATAATATTTGGTACACTCATAAGATACACTCCGGAATAGGACATAGACTTTTATTAACAAACCACGCGGTTGGAGCCGTGGGCGTAAGCTCGTTTTCAATAAAATATTTTTTCACTTTTCTCTTATAATATAAAGCCTAAGAGTTTTTTTTTTTGTTGAAACACGACTATCTCCGGATGTTCGAACCAGTAGTTCGAATTGAACAATTATTGTTGTGTTTGTTAGTCAAATTATTGAAGAAGGCTATTAAACATCACGCTACAATCTTTAGGATCCCGTAAAGGAAAACATCGTATGAAAAATGGCGTTGTAATTTCTTACAGCTTGTAATTTCTTAAATAGTTGCACTAAGAGGACTGACCGACAGACTGACACTACATCTTCAAAATTTTGTTTGAAGTTCAAAAGTGCCTGCAAGGGTCTAATTGGAATAAATAATTTTTGACTTATTATAAGTTTAAAATCGGCTATTCGGCTTAAGCAAGTGTGGTGAATAATGGTCAAACCTTTTTCGTGTCCGAAAAGGCCTTTGCTCAGCATTTGACACTTGCGACCAACGATGTAGTAGGACGGCGGGATTTGATACTTTAATAAATTAAACAGTGTTGTCAAATCAATTATGTTCAGCAAGTCATTAATAATAAGTTATTTTAATGTAACAAACGTTAGACTTGGAAAATCTACAACTAAGTTAGTTAAATTAATTTTGTATTGAAGTTAGGCCGTATCGATGGCGTCTGGGTAACTGGAATACTTATGAACTTAGTTTAAACACGTATAGTCAAAGGTTTCGACTAATCCCGTTGATTTGCGTATTGTGTCTAGGTATGTTTAACTCTTGTTAATCGGATTCTGAGAAGGATTTTGTGGCAAGTCGTCTAAATACTATTTAAAGGTTAATTGGCGTCTTTGTACGAGTATCAATTTTACAAATGTTAGGTGGCTAGATCAGCAAACGCAATCCACCCCACACCGACACCAGCAACAGAGGAGTTATGGGTGCGTTGCCGACCTTTAGGGATTAGGGATTTGGAGATTTAGGGATTGCGGAGGGATTGGGGGTGGGGAAGGATTGGGCCTCCGGTAACCTCACTCACACGGCAAAACACAACGCCGGTTTTCTGTGAGACCGTGGTATCTCTCGGTCGAGCCGACCTATTCGTGCCGAAGCATGGCTCTCCCACACTTCGTAGGCACTACATTTATTTTCATGCTTATTTTTGTGTAGGGAAATGACTTCTTTCGCCCAAGGTAAGCCGAGAGGGAGTTTTGTTTATTGATAGGACGGCAAACAAGCAACAGTAGAGGAGTTACGAGTGCGATGCCGACCTTTAGGGGATTGGGAATTTGGACATTTTGATAGGGCCAATGTTCAGACGGGATTACGGATGAAGCGCAATAATCAGCAGCGGCTTCAACCCGGACCAGGCGGAGCAAATATAATAATTTTAATTTCCGAATGGTCAATCAAGAGTCATTTTTTTTTGTTATTGGTTGGCAAACGAGCAGACGGATTACCTGATGGAAAGCAATCAGCGCCGCCCATGGACATGGAGCCTGCCAAAAAGAGTAACGAGTGCGTTGCCGACCTTTTGGGGATTAGAGATTTTGAGTATTAGGGATTGGTGGAGAAAAAGGATCCTCCGGTAACCTCACTCACACGGCGAAACACAACGCTGTGGTTGTTGCACGCCGGTTTTTTGTAAGGCCGTTGTATTTCACCTGTCGACACGACCCATTCGTGGTGAAGCATGGCTCTCCCACACTAAAAACCTCACCGTTACTTTTTCTGCTCCAGGCCAACGCCGCAGCACCATATAACGCTTGTCCCGCAACCTCGAATGAACATCGACATTGTTAAGCTCTATTTGGTTGATCTTCTAACTCTTTGAGGCGCCCGCAAGTGGCAGGTGAGCCAACTAATCGCCTGATGGTAAGCAATCTGTGTCGGACACTAACAAACTCTAGCACCAGAGTCAAAAGTTGACTGCCTTTTAGGAACGGGGAAATTTGGGGATTGAAGATTTGGATATATGGGCATAGAGCAGGGGATGGGGTGGTTTGGGTATCTAGTAACCTTCCTCACAAAGCAAAGCAACCGTTATTTTACGCGGATTTCCTTTAACGCTGTGGGTAGCTCACTGTGCGTCCACTATCCAGTAGGTACCTCGCCTCTACCTACCTTATCGTCAACGGATAGAAGACGTTCTTATTTAAATGCAAATACTCCTTTTCCCATAAATTTAGTCCAACTACCGAAAGAGGAATTCGGTTCCAAAGTCGGGCAAAGTGTTATTAGGATTTTTGTAAGTTTCTAGTACTTACGTTTCTTAGCACGGTAATTTTTGTTTCCCATTATCCTTTTCTTTTACACGTAGTTTCTTATAATATATTTCGTGGGGAGATTCAAAATAGTTATTGATGTCCCTGGGACGAGCTGGACTCCGATATTTGTGTGTTTAAATGGTTGTATCTACTGACGTGATGAGGCTAACATATTTTTTTCATAAGTACATGGAACAACAGGTACAACTTTTTGTTTTGAGGGATGAATATCATCAAGTGCCTTGCCAGGCTAATTATTATGTTTTCGGCTTACTCACGTAATAATTTGACGAGATATAGCCTTGCCAGGCCTTGTAAATAAATCCCTCACAGTATCGCACTTTAAATACACTATTGCGGTACTGCGGCTTTGACTTGGAGCAGAAAAAAGATATGATCTTTAATCAGTAACAGTTTGACGGTCAATCGCGCCTCAACCAGGGCGGGAGAAATCATTTGATGATATTACACTTTGCATAAAATATACTTTAAATCATATTACTGTTGATAAGTGTGTTTTATATTAAGCAATATACATTAACGCCTCGAAAATTAACAGAAGATATTTTTATTTAAATAATAGAATAAGATTTTTATCCTTTCTCAGAACACTTCCCAGGTATTCTACATCAAAGTAAATTCATACTTATCCACTTGAAAGTAGATCTGAATTAAGTTAACACCCAACTTTATGATTTCAGAGAAAATCTCAACGCGCTTGCCTTTGAGTAAGCCCTTAGCTGGTTTGCAAAATATAATATTTATATAAGAATTTGCCTGTCAGTGAGTTTGCACATATTTTAACGTGACTTTGTGAGAGAGTCATGATTCGGTACTGCACGTCGATTCTATAAAATTTGTTTGATTCGAAGTGAGCGTCGAAATGACGGGTAAATTAAATTTTAGAATGCCACTTTTAACGTCATTTCATACTTTATCTTTCAAAATGATGGTGTCAATTTAGTTCAACTCGCAAGTGTAGCGCTAGTGTACTACTACTCACAGCGGATTCAGATTCGAAGTTTAGAATGAAGTCTTACAGAATCACACCCCTGCTGAGCAATCTTGACCGGATTGACATCACTGCCTCACAGAAAACTGGCGTGAAAAAAGAAGAAAAATAATTGATTGCCAAACATGCGTATACATGAAATAAGTCGGTCGTGTTATGTTTTGCCGTGTGAGTGAGGTTACCGAAGGCCCAATCATTCTACCCCTCCCTGAATCCCTCCCATCAATTCCAAAGGCCGGCAATGCACTTGTAACTCCTCTGGTGTTGCGGGTGTCCATGGGCAATGTCAATGGCTTACCATCAGATAATCCATCGGCTCGTTTGCTGCCATAAAAAGACTTTCTCAAGGGGAAAGAAAAAATCGTGAGGAAGTGTAGACTAACTATGTATTAATTTGAAATCTTAAATTATAACGTGATCAATACTTACCATCTCCGTGTGAGAACAGGTATTTGTTCAGCAGTGGCTGGTGGTAGGCTGATGATGATGGTGATGATAAAATAATAAGTCGGATTTAAAAAAAATACTTTAAGTATTCAAAAATGCTTGTATATTGGTTGTTATACATACTTGTTCTTATGTAAGCAATATATAATGTTACACTTACAAATAAACGAGCTTACAATCTCAAGAAAAAAATATAAAGCTGAATATAGCATATCACGAAAACCTCAACTGCTATAAATCTTCACTCAATTTTTTACTTTACTAAACAAGTATAAGGTTGAATATCGATTACAGACTAGGGTATCTTGATGTGCACGGAACAAGTTATTTTACATTATTGTTTAATAAATTGTACCTTAGTGTAAACTCTTGAAGTATTAAAATTGCTTGGCCCCAAAGACTGACCCAACAAAATTTGTGAGTAGAATCAGTCATTACTTGTCATTTTAGTGTATAAAGGTTTTTATTTTCTTTTTTCACATTCGTTAAGAAAATTGTGTGCTACCAGAGTTAATTGAAAAATTTAAAAAAGACAATTTTATTTATGGTCATTCTCGATTTGGTGTACATTAAATTTCCTACTTTATTTTCAAAGCAATAGAACTGAAAATTGCATGGAAGTCTGCTACGATAAAACACAATTTTCTTAATTTAAAAATCTCACAATACATGTATGTAGTTAGCGAGGTATAAACTTCACATATATGGGGTCCACTGGTCTAAGCACCAAGTCCACCATAACTCTAGGCCTTGCCCCCTTGACTTTAGGTACAATTTTGAAGTGACGCACCAGCTCGCTGAGTGTCGTCTTCATTTCCTGCATCGCGAATCTTTGTCCTGTGAAAGAAGATTTAGATGGTGTAAAAATTGTATGACCTTATGTAGAAAAGGTGTGGGAGAGCCATGCTTCGGCACGAATGGGTCGGTTCGACCGAAGTAATACTACAGCCTCACAGAAAAACGGCCTGGAACATCCACAGCGTTGTGTTTCGTTTCGCCGTGTGAGTGAGGTTACCGGAGGCCCAATCCCCCATCCTCAAAACTCAAATCCCCTATCCTTAAATCCCTAATAACACATTGCTTACCATCAAGTAAACCACCAGTTCGTTTGCCGACCTATGACATAAAAAATTACCTCTGAAGTTTGTAAAGATAGCATTTTTTACGTATGGGACGACGATGGGATTTTAAACCTACTTAATTATCACTACATAGTATAATACAAAGTTGCTTTCTCTGTCCCTATATCCCTATGTATGCTTAAATCTTTAAACCTACGCTACGGATTCTGGTGCAGCTTTTTTAATAGATAGGGTGATTGAAGAGTAATGTTTATATAATGGAGAAGTTTAGTATTATCATCGCACCCGTGCGAAGCCAGGCTGGCTGCTAGTAGGTATATTTATAAAATTATCTACGTAATCTTCTTAGCTTAACGCGACACTGTACATAATTGTGTAGTATCTCCCGTGAAAAAGAAACCATTTTAACTTTTCAAAACATTAAAGTTTCTATCCTATCTTACATAATTCATTGATTTGACGTTGCACTTCATTTTCGTATTTTTCTAGCAATTAATTAGAAAAAAGTATGCTTTTTAATGCATCTTGCTATTTTTACGATTTTCATAGAAAATTGACATTGGTGGTGATGTTTCGAGAAGAGAATTGAATTTGGCTGACTGAAAACCACATTATTGTGTGCCAATACCAATAAAAATATTTTTAGCTTTCTAAAATTACCTCTTCATTTATGCCAAACCTTATCAAACATAGATTTTCTAGTTTAGGAGAAGAATAGTAGAAAACCTACGTCACTATACCAGCTCTTGTCGCAAGTATCGTAAAAGTACACACGTAACACACGTTCTATACTAGTTTAGTCAAGAGTTTAAAATGATCTCTGAGCGACTAAATGGTTTCTGAAAGGCTTATCAACGCTAAAATTAACGAATCTCCTGTTAAATCTCTTGTCAAGTCATCTGATTGGTTGTTGACAATTCAGTCAACCAATCAGATTGATCGGCCTTTCGGAAACGGGGCCGGGTGATAGTCCATGTATTTTTTTAATCTATTTGAGTATTTTTCAGAGTTAGATTATGTATTGTTGATAAAAAATCAGTAAACAAAAGCTCATCTATTAAATCTGACTCTTGACGCAACTAGTAAATATTATAACATCCGGGCAGCAGCGCTCTCGGATAAACCGGAATCTTTAAAACTGCAATCTGGACCCAAGAGCTTAGGAAATTATAACAAAACCCCTAATATGAAAACTTGACTGCACGGCTGGTGCGGTGGCTGGGCAACTGGCTGCCGTGCAACGTGTCGTGGGTTCAATTCCCGCACGCAACAAATCTTTGTGTGATCCACACATGGTAGTTCCGGGTCTGGGAGTCATGTGCATGTGAAACTGTATGTTTGTAACCACACCCGACGACACAGGAGTAAATACTAATGTGAGGCAACGTTTTAAATTATAAAAATTGAAAACGAAACACATAGACCCACATAGACTTTAATAGGTAATTGATGATGAATAGGAAAATAACCCCAAATGCAAAAGTTGGACAAACCAATGCAGTTCCTAGGTCCAGCGCTGAACGGTACATAAGCGTAAGGATGTTTCATTTCCGTGCCAAGGAACCGCTCCGGCATGAACTTCTCAGGTTCCGGGAACATGTCAGCTCGACGGTGCAGCTCGTAGATGTGGACGTCCACGGTGGTACCCTTCTTCACTAGTAGATCGCCTGAGGAGGAAACAAGGATGGTTAAGATCGTCAAAGTTTATACGTTTCTAAGTGTTTAGAAAATTATATTTTTGACGTAAAATGGTAAACGAAAAGACAGACGCGTAGACGCTGCTTACCATCATGACCATGGAGACTCTCAAAACTAGAGAATTTGCAAGTGCGTTTGGGAGTTAGGAAATTAGAAATTAGGCTGCTTTGTAAGCGCGGTCGCGGGTCCGATTCCCGCACGGAACAACTCTTTGTGTGATCCACAAATGATCGTTCTGGGTCTGTGTTTCATGCGTATATGAAATGTTATGTTCGTAAACGTACCCACAACACAGGCGAAAACCCTATTGTGGGGCCATTATTAAAAAAACAAATTGTGATAATTGTAAACATTTTGAAGTTGAGCACTTAAAACTTTCAAAGAAATGGCAGTGACGTACATTTCAAATATCACATCCAGTTTCCAACAGTTTTATTCCGAGTCTCATCCTAATAGAAGCCAGCTTACCTAGTGTTATTTACCACTTGTGATGTATCAAGGAAATGTCTAAGCTAATATACTCTAGTCTATCTAGTTCCTAGACATCGTAAATCAGATATTTCCTAGTATTTACAATAACATCTAAAGTGGGTACGAGTAACAACAGGCCCCAGCGAGACGCATTGGAAAGTGCCACTTATGTCGCGGTTTGAGACGACGCTGTGATACGGTAATATCGACATTTTATACAGACATACACTACATCGCTGATAAATATAAGTAAATTGTTTATGTCAAGAAAGAAGAGGAAAGCTGGCTTTTCAAAACATCACATAGTTCATTTACTAAGTTTTTTTTTATGTAATTGGTCGGCAAACGAGCAGACGGATTACCTGATGGTAAGTAATCAGCGCCGCCCATGGACACCCGCAACGGAGGATATACGAGTGCGTTGCCGACCTTTTAGGGATTAGGGATTTGGAGATTTAGAGATTGAGGAGGGATTGGGGGCGGGAAAGGATTGGGCCTCCGGTAACCTCACTCACACGGCGAAACACAACGCTGTGGTTGTTTCACGCCGGTCTTCTGTAAGGCCGTGGTATCACTCCGGTCGAGCCGACCCATTCGTGCCGAAGCATGGCTCTCCCACACTTAGTAGACTCATATTAAAATTGGTTATGCTTAAATTGTTTTAAGTCAATCAAAATTCGTTTTTTATGGCATAGATCGGCTAACTGACAATAGATCGGGAGATGGTAATCCATGGGCGTCACTCATGGACACTTACAATATCAGTGGAGTTGTAAGTTCGTTGCCGACCTTCGGGGAAGAGGGATTTGAGAATTGGGGGTACTGGAGATGGTTTAGGCTAAGGTCATGGTGGCCCGGAGGCTAAGGAGCCCGCTTCTCATACATGAGGATGTAGTTTCGAAACCTGGCAAGTACCAATGTGTTACTTTTTCCGAGTTACATGTACTTTTTATGATTATTTAGACAGCACTGACATGCAGTGAAGGTAAACATCGTGAGGAAACCTGGACTTATAATTTCTAATTATAAGTTTGAAATCGCCCACCCGCATTGAGCAAGCGTGGTGAGTAATGCTCAGAATTTCTCCGTGTGAGAAGATGCCTTTGCTCAGTAGTGGGCACTTATGGGCTGATGATATGATATATATGATATTAGGGTAAGCTTTGGATCTCCGGTAACCTCAGACAAGTGTTACTTCACACCGAATTTTTGTAAGCCCGTGGTATCATTCCGATTGGGCCGATCCATTCGCGCGAAAGCATTCTTCTTTGATACACTAATCCTACTCAAAACCGGAGAAGCAGTCAAACTTGTAATCGATACACACACGAACTGAAATGTTTGTTTTAATCTCAAACAGATTATTATACCCGCATAGTAGATAGTTTATAAGCCCCAGTAAAGACGAAAAACAATTTTAGCAATATCGCGAGTTTGTGCGCGAAAGTGCTAAGTTGTTATAACTGTTTTGAGGATAATGTGTACGGGGATAATGGATGTTTGATTAATTCATAGATATAATTAGTGAAAGGATTTAGATGAACAGTGAGAGTAAGCTTAGCTAATTATTTTAATTAAAGCCGTTTATTATTTAGACTTAATGAGATGGACTTGAAATTACATGATATCCCAATTATAAAATATTATAAAGTAACTCTGACTGTCTATGTCTTTTCTTCACGCCTAAACTACTGAACCGTTTTCTGTGTGTGGTACAGATATGGATTCGATCCCCAGACCTGAATATTTGGAGCACTGTTTTTGGAATTATTGTAACCAAGCAATATAGACAGGATCTTGTACTTACATAAGAATAAAAGGACCACGGAGTAGATTTGAGCATAAATCACAACAATTGCTCAAGGCGGATTGTGGGTTAAGTCTCCCGCTTCACATGCATGGGTTCGAAACCTGGCAAGTACCAGTGTGATTTTGTCGTGTACTTTCTATGATTATTAAGACACCACTGACATACGGTGAAGGAAAACACCGCGAGGAAACCTGGACTTATAATTTCTAATTATAAGTTTGAAATCGCTAATTCGATTTGAGCAAGCGTGGTGATTGATGCTCAGAACTTTTCCGTGTGAGAAGAGGCCTTTGCTCAGTGGGCATTTATAGGTTAACTAATAATGATGAGCTATATATTAATTAAACATGTAGATAAAAACAAACTTTCATCAGTGTATTTCTTTGCAGGATAAAGAAATGTCCTTCTAAAAGTCAGACGGGAAAATACCGTGTATTTTATTTTCCTTATTTCGTTAACTAGTACACACGAAGCGAGCGAGAAGATGATATCTTAGCACAATAGTGAGTTCCCTGACCTAATTTAACGTCTAGCAATCAGACAAGGATTGTGGAAAACGTATTATAGGTTAGGGATGTGATCGAACTACGAAAATTTGATCAGTGCGATGTATATCACAGGCAACACAGATTCAAGTCAAGTCAAATATTTTTATATAGATTTTTTTATGTGTAGGTACTATTATTTTATATTTACTTTTTATATAATAATATACTGCTAGCTTTGGCCTACGACTCCTTTCGCGTGGAATCCCGCAGTATTTTGGTATAAAAACAATCCTATGTCCTTTCTCGAGTTCCAAACTATATCTGTACCAAATTTCACTGAAATCGGTTCAGTAGTTTAGGCCTGAAGAAAAAATAGACAGACATAGTTACTTTCGCATTTATAATATTCGTTTGGATAAGCACTTTTGAATGTCAAACAAAAAGTAAATATCAAGAAGTGCAACTTTGCATGTTAGTCTGTCGACTCGGTCTGTCTTCTAGTGAAGCTATTTGCTCGTTCCAAAGCGTAGATTCCTATGGAAAATAACGAGCAAGAAACTCCATGATTACTCTTTTCCAATCAGTTTCACAATTCATTTCTTTGTAACATCATTTAATCGGTTCTATTGTGTGATTACATAGACATGTACATCACAAAATGATAAGTGCCCGTCGTATGAATGTAATTTCTGTTGTCGTATTTTACTGCAAATTTAATTGACTGCACGGTAGCCGCGGTGGCTTGGCAACCAGAAGGCGTAAAACCGCCGTGCCATAGAATAAAAAAATATGTGATGCACAAATTGTTGTTCCATGTCTGTTCGTTTAGACGTGTGTGTGAAATTGTTTGTTCGCAAACACACCCACGATATTAGACTAAATAAAAATAAGGAGTTCTTTTTTATAAGAAAAAATTTAATTTCGTCACCAATCACAGAAGGTCTAATTTTTGAAAGCGGTTTAATAAGAAAAGTGTTCTAGAGTTTGTGTCTTATTATTTATAGGCTTAGCCAGTATATGGCATGGTAGTGATATTAAGTAGATGATCTCAACTACTCTACTTATAGGTAACCTTTTCACCAAAATACCTTCTACAATAAGAGGCGTTCATAAATTAGGTGACGTGTTTTTTTGAACTTTCAGACCCTCTTACCCCTCTTATTTCCCTCCCCCCCCCCCCTTATTTGTATGAAAAATTTACGTGCCGAGACCTCCTCTCCCTCCAACCTAAAATTAGATGAAATTTGACTCATCCCACTTCCCCCTTAAACATCTCACGTATTAGTAAATTAAAACTTAAAAGGTAAAAAAAATATACTTTAAAGAAAATAAAATTATGAAAATGACATAAAAACTCACCCAACTTAAAATCTTCAGTGATCTCTCGTCCAATGAATGGCACGCTCGGGTACAATCGCAGTATTTCCTTGATGACCGCTTCCAAATACTTCATATCGGATAAGTTGGACATTGTCACGTGCTCGGAGTCACCAAGGATCGTTTGACATTCCTCGTAGATGCGCTCCTGTAAATGGGGGGCGTGTTTGAATTAAAGTGGTCTATCGTATTTTTATGGTATTTTTGAAGCTATGTTTCGAAAACTATGTTTTTTTAAAAATGTTGCTCTACACTGGGATTTTCTCGCTCGGGTGCATTTGCAAACATACCTACAAAAACCACCAAGACCCGAAACAAAGATTTGTGGATTTCGTAGTGTTCTTCCGTGCGGAAATCGAACCCGCGACAGGAAAAGAAAGAAAAAGACACTAAATCATAACCGCTTCAAAAAAGTATTGTTTGAAATTTTTAAGAATATTAACAATTTTTAAGACTTTTTTTGTATAAAGGTTATGACAATATGTTTTTCAGTCTCGGATACTTACAGCGAATTAACTATCTGTTTTAACGAAAATAAGTCAAAATTCAATTGTTAGCATCATACTGTACTTAACTCACCCTACCAACTTGAAAGTTCAAAGATAATTTTAATTTCAATTTATGCAAATGCATCGTAAGTATTTTCAAAATAATAACATTCTATTACCAGAAGAGAAAGCGGCCATAAAAGACATCTGTTTATATTTTTTGCATTCTCTTTGAGATGACAAATGGAATTTCATTTCTACTTTGCCAAGGAGTTTTTATTAAACATTTAACAACGCCACTCGCCGGCAAACATTTTCTCCTGTTTCAATAAGCAGTGGAAAATTAAAATAAATAAGTGCCTGCTTCAGATTTTATGTATTAATTATTAATTTCACTTCGCATTTCGAATGCGTTGATGAAGACTTCTTGAACAACAGGTACATCTCAAACATCGTACGTTCTTGTGTTCTCCTTAGAATAAACAGCGTTGTGTTTCGCCGTGTGAGTGAGATAACCGGAGGCCCAATGCTTACCCTCCCCAAATGACTTCCCTATCCCTAAATCTCCCAAATTCTAAATCCACAAAAGGTCGGCAACGCACTCGTAACTCCTCTGTTGTTGCGGGTGTCCATGGGCGGTGGTGATTGCTTACCATCACGTAATACGACAGCTCGCTTGGCGACCTACCACATAAAAAAACAAACCTTGAGAGAATCCTCATAAGTCGTGACATACGAGAAAATCTTATTACGGAACCACTTTTTTCATATTTCAACGAGATTCTTTTGTTGACTGCTACATCTATCCTGACGTAAGACCTTCACTTCCTTTTTATGATGGGTTGGCAAAAGAGCTTTATCACCTGATGGTAAGCATCGAAACGGCCCATGGACACCCAAAACACCAGAGGAGTTACGAGTGCATTGCCGGCTTTTTGTAAGTTAGGGATTTGAGTAATGCGGTATTGGGGATTGGGGTAGGGGCGAAAAAAGGCATTTAGTAACCTCACTCACATGAGGAAACAAAACTGTTATTTTACGCCGGTTTTCTGCTAGGCCGTCGTGTCACTTCGGTCGAGCCGGCCGATTCGTGCCCAAACATATATCTCCCGCACTACACTGCTCAGTTGGCGCGGTGGTTGAGCAACTGGCTACCGCGGAATGTGTAGCGGGTTCGATTCCCGCATGGAACATGTGCATGTGAAATTGTGTTTGTAAACGCACCCACGACACAGGAGAAAATTGCAGCGTGGGGCAACGTTATTATAAAAAAAAGAAGCTGTAAGACTATCCACTACGCAGAATGTTAACACCTATATACCTGTACTTCTTCATGATCAGCTATCAGCATCAAGCCGAAAGTGAGGGCCAAGGCTGTTGTGTCGTGTCCCTGCAAATAAAGACTTCTTTATTAAGAGAACCAACAAAATAACGTGGCTGGTATTATTATTACAAGTTTAATGTACATATAACTAAGATTTTAAATTATTAGGGTCAATTCACTCCAAAATGCCTATCGGCGTGAACACTTCCAAAGATCGATTCAAAAAACAACTTTATATTGCACACGACAAGGTATAAATTTCATGTAGTGGACGCTTCACTTCATCTTCGCACGTCATGTTGCGTCTGTGTGTGAATTGACCCTAATTGCTTACATTTCCTGACATTACTAGTATATAATTAGAAATTATAAGAAAGTATAAGTATAAATTATAATTAGAAATTATAAGTCCAGGTTTCCTTATGATGTTTACCTTCACCGTATGTCAGTGGTGTTTAAATAATCATAGAAAGTACATATAACTCGGAAAAAGTCACATTGGTACTTGCCAGGTTTCGATCCTACACCCTCATGCTTGAGAAGCGGGCTCCTTACCCTCCGGGCCACCACGAAGTTTAACCATATCATTGTAAAAAAATCCAACTTAATTAATAACACCAAGACCTACCTCAAACATGAACGTGTTGACTTCATCCCTGATACCATCCATATCGATCTCGCCTTTCTCCTCAGCCTCCAGCAAGAGATCCAACATAGCCAATCTCCTCTTAGTTCCAATACCATCAGTCACATCAGCTATTGCTTCTCCCTTATTCTGAGCTCTTTGGGCCTTTCTGTCCATGATGACATTGTCAGCAAAAGATCGGGCTACTTCTAGGGTTTTGGCGAATTCCTTCCCTCGTGAGGAGTTGTTGAAGATGAAGTCATTGTGCAGCCAAAATCTACTGATCCTGCACAACATTTGCAAGCCGATGTTTAGGATTGCGTTCTTGTAGTCTACGGTGGCTGATGTTTGATCGTCATCCAGTTTGGTTCCCATCGCAGTTTCTGTTGATATAAAATCTTTATTAGTTTGCTTATAATATAAAGATACACCACTATTATAAATCTGAAGAGTGTTGTTTGTTTGATTGGCCTAATCTCTGGAACTATTGATTTGAATTGAACTATTATTTTTGTGTCAGACAGTCTATTAGTCGAGGAAAGCTATTTAAAATATTACGCATCCAGTAATGCTACCATCAATAGCAGCCAAAAAGCAGGTGAAACCACGCATGAGTTGCTAGTTATGTAATATAAAGTCATCATCATTATCAGTAAGACATCCATTGCTAAACTAACGTCGAAAGACCTTTTGCTGCAATTGGCTGCAAACTCCTCTCGGACCTAAATAATATTATAGTAAATGAGTCTGAATTGACTGCCGTGCCTAATAATAGAAATAAAAGACCTAAAAACCGCAGCTATTTTTTGCGTGATAAACTTATAGATCAATTATTTAAATGTTTTTTATTGAATAAGACGGCAACCGAACAGACTGATAACCTGATGTTATGCAATCAGTGACATTCATGGACACCCGCAACACCAAAGGACATAGAAGTGCGTTGTCGGACTTGACTTACACTATTCCATTAACATTTCGGGGAGGGGAAAGATTGGAACTTCAGTACACCGACACCTTATTCACAGAACGCTGTGTTTTGTTTAAGATCAGGTTAATTTATCTAGGCCGTTGAAACAACAGTATTGTATAAATAACACTATTCAAGGAAAACCATTAAGTTAAACAAACATACTACATTGTAACTCTACGCGATTATTTGTGATTCGTCTTCAAAGAACTTAACGATTGGAAACATTAACTCAATAAGACCCCAAGTTTATTATTCTAAACAGTGGAACACAGTATTTTATTAATTTCTCTTTTATTTCTTCAATATAAAGGAAGTGCCTGATTGGCAGAGTAGTTGGAAGTGCACATTTTATTGTTTCCCATATATATGTATAGTGAAATATATACGGTCGAATTGAGAACCTTTTTGGAAGTCAGTTGAAAAGAGGTCTCGTGACTATCGAAATTTGAGTACCTACTTCCATTGAAAACAAGCTTTATATTGGGCTATAAAAATATTGGTGTTATTCAAATATCAAGTTTCGATTACCTACTATTTATTCCTGTTATCGTATAAAACTGAAGTAAATAAGGAAAATTATGATTAATTAAACAAGTTATAGAATTAGGGTATATGGTACCTATATACAGGGTTTAAAAAGACACTTAACGAAGCCGAAAGCCACGTATTCTACCCATTATTTGGATCATTTTTTCTTTAAGACCATAGCTGGGACTCCACGGGTTCTCGAGATATTGAAGGTCAAAGATGCATTTTTAATTTTTTTTTGCGCAATCGAATTCTAAGCATTATTACAAAACTTTTTTCCAAACAAACATTACCTGAATTTACGCATTTGAAGTAACGAACAGTAATGTACGTAATAAATAAATGCAGACCCGTACAATGTGGGGAAGTAACCAACGAACCTTTTTTTGTAAGAGGAAATTCAGTGTCAGATCCGCCAGAGGGCGCTTTACCGTAAACTTTGAGCTCCGTTACTGCTTTTAATATTTTTTTGTTTTAAATGGTTTAATTGCATTTGCCTTGTGGATTATGTGATATAAGTAATGCATAAAGTTCGGATCACCTGTTCAAATGTTATTTGTCGTGTAAACTGACTCACTACGAAGTTTTAGTGTATATAATCGTGAACAAGTTATAAGTGGAAATAAAAACTAACGATTGCAAAAACTAATAATTAAAGCCTCAAATCTGCTTGACTACTAGTGAGACTATGAAGATGTGAAAAAATAAATTTAATCTAGATTTTGTGGAACAATAAAAGTGGACGGTATTTTTGAAATCACAACTAAAACAGAAAAATACCATCTCAACCACTAAAAAGAATTTTTCACTAGAAACAGTATTATAATTTCGATACGTATTTGACATCTCGTTTGGCCGATGTGAATGAGCCATAAACTGACAAGACGGCGTGCATGAGTTCGCGACTCGGAACCTTTGACTCTTTTTGTTAATGTATCTTGAACTTAAAAATAATTATAAATTAAAATAGCCATGATGAGCTTCTTTGACAATATAACATTGCGAAGAAACCGAACAAATTCTGAGACAAATGTTATAAATAGTAGCCAATTTTCTACGAGTACCCACGATGATAATAGTATTACCAGTATGCCTGAGTTAACCGTAGATGAAGAACACGAAGAACAAATAACTAAATTGAAACAACAAATACGCTGTCTTGAGCAAGAACTCTCAAGTGCCCATCATGAAATCGAGTCCCTATCACTAGAAAATAATAGTCTTAAACAAATAAACGATGAGTTATTAAAAAAGAACAAATTATACACCACAGTATCGTGCAGTCCTAGAAGAAAACACACTCCTAACAAATCAAACGATACTACCACAAAAAAGGGAAAAACAAGAAGTATCTGTACACAAACTGCAATATCTCAGCTGCGAAGTTCAACTCAAACTACAACTGAGAGTATTATATGCTCTAAACAATCAGAACCACAAACTCCTAAAACAAATGAACTGATCGAACATCCTCCTGTAGCTCCTGTAGCTGTAACATATCCTAATCCTAATAAAAACAAACTTTGTGTCCTGAGCAGCATTAGATCACACAACACCCGCCAGATTATAGAAGATACATTTGGGCGGTACTTCAATTTTTGTTATTATAATTATCCAAACTGTAGTACTGATCTTCTTCTCAAGAACATTAACAATAAATTGATAAATTTCAGCATTAATGACTATTGTATAGTAATTTTAGGAGAGAAAGATTTGAAAACTTCTTCAAACTGTTTGCGTTTGGTAGAAACCATTAAGAAAGCTCTAGAGCATATAACTCATACTAATATAATAATATGTAACCCTACCTATATTTGTGGATGTCCTATTTATAATTACAAGGTTGAAATATTTAATAACCTATTGTTCAAAGAAATAAATAGAGGATCTTATGCTTACAGTTTTGACACGAATTCCTATTTGAGTTATGACATGTTTTCTAGTAAATCGGGTGTAATTAATAGGAGGGCGCTCGTGCATATTTACAACAAAATAATGGAAAACATAAAAATTGACATGGACTACCCAAAAAATTTTACACTACCCACTAAAACGAACAAAAATGTAAACAATAATGAATGTGACCTGACTATCCATAATGACAAACTTATGTTAAATGAAGAGATAAACACAACTAATTTATTTCGTGTATAATCATATCACTGTTCTCCATCAAAATATAAATGGACTGCTTAACAAGTCAGACATGCTTTCTATTTCCGTAAACAATCTTATTGCTGAGGGTATTAATGTCGACTTAATGTGTATTACTGAACACAACATGACGGACGGTGACGATACTTATGTCATATTGCCTAATTATATATTAGCTTCCTATTACATGCGACCTAATAGGCACGGAGGTTCGTGCATTCTTATAAAAAATAACCTGAAGTTTAGGGTGCGTCATGATATCGTTGGCTTGTCAATCTTAAATACTTTGGAATGCTCTGCAGTTGATTTGCTTGATCATAAAATTATCGTCTTAAGCATATATAGACCACCAAATAATGCAGCTGGCTCAGCTGCTAGTTTTTTTACGGTATTAAATAAAATCCTAAATACAGTAAGCTCAAATAGTGCTGGAGTTGTTTTGTGTGGAGATTTTAATATTGATACTCTGAAACAAACAAAGTTATCAACAGAATTTAGGGAACTTTTATATACTTACAATATGAAATTACAATTTAAAGAAATTACAAGATTTGATAGCAAAACTGGCATAGACAATATAGCTCACAATGTGAAAACATGTGTAGGTGCCATTAAGGAGTTAGCTTTGTCTGACCACAACGCTCAAATCATTAAATTAACTGTTAACAAAACATGCACTATAAATAATTGGTTCATAATGAAAAGAGACAATTCCATGGAAAATCGTAAAATGTTCATAAACTATTTGAAACAGTTAGGTAACAACGACATATATAACTGTACGGATCCAAATAAAGCCTATAATACATTTCATACGAATTTTAATATGCTATATGAGCTTTGTTTTCCATTAGTTAAAGTTAGAATCTACAATCGACTTAAACCTAAATGGATGTCACGTGGCTTAATAATATGTAGCAAGAAGAAACGGGAACTTCTATGGCAATTTAGAAAGCGACCTAGCACGGAAAACGGAGCGATATTTAAATCGTATGTAAAAAAGTTCAAAAAAGTAATAAATTTAACTAAAAAATCTCAAAACGACTATTATATCAAAAATTCTGCATGCATTTCTAAAGCGACATGGAAAGTGATAAAGGACATCAAATGTGTGTATCCAAACGAAAGTGTAAACAAATTAAATATAAATAACACAATAGTAAATGACCCACAAAATATTGCACAAACATTTAATGACTATTTTCTTGACATCAGCAGTAAAAATATAACCCATGCTATCGACGTGACAACTAGATTGACAAATGATAACCCTAAAATGACATACCTTATTGAACCTGCAAATAAACTGACATATAACTCTAATTCCATATTTGTGGGCCCGACTAACACTAACGACATACAGAACATAATATTAACACTAAAAAATAAAACAAGCGTTGGACCTGACGGTGTTTCGACTAAAATTGTTAGAGACGTAGCTAATGTTATATCGGAACCGTTAAGCTTCATCATTAATCTATGCGTGGAACACGGCAGTTATCCAGATAAACTTAAAACATCGATAATAAAACCAGTGTTTAAAAAAGGCGATAGAATGAATGTAAACAACTACAGGCCAATTGCATTGATATCTGTATTTGCAAAGATTTTTGAGAAGGTTATATATAAATGCATTTACGAATTCTTAGAAAGTCATCGTATACTAACACCAAGTCAATATGGTTTTAGGAAAAATAAATCGGTTAATGTAGCAATATTTAACTTTCT